CCCCTTCCCCCCCCCCCCCGCGCCCACTGCTGCTGCCACCAAAACACCCCGTGTTCTCACCGGACACGCATGGAAGCTGTACAGGCGATACCGGAACACCACGTTCGAGTCGCCGTTGAAGTAGTACTTCGCCGCCACCACCGCCAGGGGCCGTTCTGGCTGCTGCTGCTGCGACCCCTGCCCCGCTCCCTCCTCCTCTTCCTCCTCCTCGCCGCTGGAGCTCCTACTACCGGGGGGTGCCGCCGCTGCCGCGGCGACTTGCCCAGGAACTTCGGCGGGGTCGAGTTGTTTCAAGCTGCAGTGGATGTGCTCGTGGCCTCCCCCAGGCCCAGGCGTCATGCCGGCCTTGCGGTCTGCGACTACCTGCATGTGTAGGGGGGGGGATGCCGGTTGGGTGGCCGAAACAGAGCTGAGAAAGTAGGAACTGCTGTGCACCTGCATGTGTAAGGAGGATGCCGGTTGGATGATCGAAACAGAGCTGGGCAGGTAGAAACTGCTGTGGTGACCGGCCGTGGCCCACCCTGACGCATCCATTGGCGCAATGTTTGTGTGGTGTGCGGAGGGAAATACTGGAGGGCCATCGGAGGAAGGAATGGCAATGGTTGCCCCAGGAGATAACTCCGGCTGGTTGCTCCACTGCGAAGAGCAGCATCGACGAGTGTGCTCGACCATTGTTGTGATATTTATGTTTTGTTCAGTGGAGAAGAATCTAATTTTGCCCTGTTTGCACCGTCTAGATTGTGTGTCTGAAGATTTCACAACGTGATTTAGCCATCGTGCGGCCACACGCGCTTGGTCAGTGCACCTTGGGGAATGAAGATGGATGGGATGGGACATGATGAGCAAAAATTACCATTGCGTAAAATCGTCGCAAGACAGCAGTAGTGTGCATTCCTGAATTCACAACCGAACCAATCGAGCATTAGGTGATGGACCGAATGACTAGCTCAACGAGTCCGACGTCGTGCGCAGCGGAAGTCCCATCGGTGACACAAACTTGACAGCATGAAGAGCCCGTTTTCCAAGACCGTCTCGGCATGAACGAAAAGAAGAATCGAATGCTATCGTCCCCCCACCTGGTCATAGTTGTCGAATTCCCCCTGAAAGAGCTGCAGCAGCTCGCTTACCATCGCATCTCGAGGCTCGTCGCCGCTTAGCCCTCCTCCAGGCGTGTGAGAATCAACGCTGGTACATGATCGCTGCACCTACCGTTAGCAGCAGCAGCAGCAGCAGCGCAAGATGATTCGATGGGTTCACAAACGCCGTGTTTCATCCAAAATTGGTCCCAGTGGATGGCCTCAGGAAGCATGCAAAGCAGACACCAACCTACGCGGAGGGCGGCGGCAACAACCGACGGGGGTCCCATTGCTTGATCGTATCATTCATGTGGAGCGGTAAACGTTATGTTATTTTACAGAGTAGCCCGTGGTTGTGTCTCCGGCTATATTCGTGCTAACCTCCACGGGCTTTGGTTAAGACCCCGAGGTTGACTGTGCTTTGTCGTCAATGGTGGACATGCTTGACACAAGGCTGATCACCGTCCGCGCCTAACTACCATGTAGGGGCAAATAGAGGGCGAGGACAAATATACCCTACTGGTGAAAAGAGAAATAATAATATTGTAACTTCTTCATTTGAAGGACAAATTGTAGATATTCAAACCTTAGCTAAGGGCGAAACTGAAGTGACAATGGTAAATTCGAAAGGTAATGAAACTAAACAAAATATTCCAAAAGGTTTATCAGTAATTGTTTCAAAAAAAGATAACATTAAATTAGATCAACCTGCTACCTAATTAGTACTTATCTACAGCTGCTTTACTTCACTGGATACGCGGTAGGATTTCGGATGCGAGACCTTAGAAATATGTGCCCGAGTTAAAGCTGTACAACGGGGTACTGTCCGCAACCAGGATAATCCAAGGCGTAATCGATCGCTACTATGTGAGACATTAGTAGCGTGTGCACAGCAGCAGCGTTGGGGGAGCATGATGATACACCAGACTGGACGTTGTGGCTGCTCCCTCTGTGGAGCAGCAGCAAAGGTTCCGGACGCATGTCCTTCCTGTGGGCTGGGCTCACCTTTTGTGACAAGCGAGACCTTGATGCCGTCCACGAGACGAGCAGGCCAGCAGAAGGAACAACTTGTAACAGCAGAAGCACAACACGCTGCATCATCGGGTTCAGCAGCTAGGGGGTGCTTATGTTGCCACCACGGTGTCGCACGTCGCACACTGTCGTCAAGTTGTCGTTGGTTCGGGGGCGCACAGATAGTCATCAACAGGTGCCCATCTTTGGATGTTGGTTCGTCTCAGAACTAGCTCCACATAGTCAAATCAGTTTTTTGGTTTGTCTCAGAACCAGTTCACCCTGGACGTGTAGCGGCAAGGCAAGACGGGACATTTTGCAGGGCTGAACTCCGAGGGGGCGTGCTGGAACCACCTAGACTATGCCAGAACACGCAGCAATTGAAGCAGCAAACAAACTGAATCCAACCCCCGTTCAGAGAACGGCACGATCGCAAAAGGACGTGGAAAGAATACATAAGACTATATGACAGTGCACAGAACAAGCGATTCTTGTTCTTCACTCTTCATCTGCTTGTGTGCTGTAAGCTGGGAAGCAAAGTAACGAGCAAAGCGCTCCTCTTTGATCGGATGCCAGTCCCGCCACTTTTCCTCCTCTGGCGCCATTTACTTGCAGCCATGCTTGTACGAGATGTACACGTCTAGCACAGAGAGACTACCCGTTCAGTCGGGTGTTGAAGTTTGACAGTGTAGTGAGTGGGACAAGAAACGTGTTTATCTTTGAATTGCAGCGATGTGTTTATTATTATTATTTTCACGCACCAACCGCCACTATCATACGTGTTCTACTAATAGCCTTCTGCTGTAATATAGAAAAACAACGAACGGCGAGGCATATCATCATAGAACATACCAGACAGACAGACCGCGTCGGGACTGCGGAGCACTGCAAAGTAAGGCACCATCAACCTCTCTTGACACACACTACGTACACGTCTTGTGCCGATCTCACTCGGGCGTCCCATGAAGGGACAGCAACGACGAAACGGGACCATGCCTACAAGCCTGCCAGCGAGTTTCGTTCAAAAGGTTTTTGCGAGATCATATCCTCATCATCCCCACGTCGACTTCCTTCCTCGCCCTTCTTGCATATGAACTCGGCCTGTCTCTTTCTCTCGCGCAAGAAATAATAGCACCACGGCGGGCTTCTGTCCCTTCGTGTGCAGCACTAAGCTTTCTACAAATAACATGCAATATGCATACCCACTGTGCATGGTAGACGTGGAGAATTCACTCAGGGGCAAATCGAAACCACCGGGGAACAACGCTACTAAGACGAACGGTTGATGCTCCAAGGAACCGTAGTCGCATCCGGGTGGGGAAAACTACGTAACAAGGGCAACATAATAAGAGAACAGACAAAACAAACCTACAAGGTGAGGCTAAGGTACCCCCCCCCCCCNCTTTCCCCTCTCTACCGAACCGTAATTTTCGGTCTTTTAGCCCCCCCCCCCCCCCCCCCCCCCGATAAACAAGAGAACCAATCTTCTTGCAAATGCGTACGTACGTAAAAAAATATACTTGTAAATACTTCATACCGTTGTGCCTGAAAAAAACCGCACCCCTCTTTCTGGGGCACGCTACAACAAGGGCGATTGTTCGATACACCGGGCGGCGCACAAGGCACCTGCCTGTTTCGCTTCGAGCGCCCCGAGCCCTGGGTTGGTCTAGAGTACAGTTCTTATTCTTTCGCCCTTTCGACACACATGTATGTCGCTCAATTTTGCCAGAGAAACTTTGCGCGGCGCTGCAGCCATGCACCGGCACGCCTCTTCGTGATCGACAACGTACGGCGGCGCCTCGCCCTGGATTTATCATTCAAACAGCTCCGCACTCTTGCAACATATAAGAAGGGCGCCGCAAGAGCAGCAGGTGAATAGCCAGCCAGCAGCGGCAGCAGCAGCAGCAGCAGCAGCAGCACAGGCAGTCAGCAAAACCCCGAACAAGCAAGCCAGGATGGCACACACAGACAAGCCTCGTTGTGATCGCGTGCAGACCCGACACAAACGCTTTCTTGGCAGCAAGCAGAAATGCAAGCTCCCTCCCCCCTCAGGCCCCTAAAACGGCAAATCAAGCAACGCCAACCACACACAGCGAAGGATGACGAGGGGCTACCTGTGGCTACATCCTCGATCCCTCGAGGAGAGCACCCGACGGTTTCCAAAAAATACCGACAACGAGAGCGCGCTACCGAGAGAAGAGGAGGACCCCCAAAAGATCATTTACATCACCACGCAGCCGCAGCCGGCGGACGGTGGTGGCGGCAGGGTGGCCGCCCTCGGCGCTTCTTCAGGCTGCGCGGTCACGCGGTTCTTCAACCCCTCCATCTCTCTCTCCAGATCACCGACCCGCTTTTGCGCCTCTTCGTAGTCCTTGATAATCTGGAACTTGGGCTTGCCTGTTTCGTAAGCGTTGGCGTAAAACGGTCGCCGTGTCAGGTGTGTGTGTGTGTGTGCATCTCTCGCTGACCGTGAAGAGGTTTCGTTTTTTTATTTTATCGTGGTGTGTGTGTGTGTGTGTGTGTGTGTGTGTGTGTGTGCTCATAGTCGTGCAAGCCGTAGTCGTTAGGCCATTGACCTCGCATCCCAACAAAGCCGGGACGGAGCACGCCGGGTTCTCACCGGACCAGGCTCTCACATCACCAAGCGCGAAGCGCCGTGAGATATTCGGCGAGTCGCATGAAGGGTGCGCTGCATCCTGCTAAGGGTGTTCGGCATCTTGTGCTTACTTCCTTGCGTACGGATGACAGCTGCGTATGACTTAATTTAATTTCTGGTGCTTTCACTTCCATAAACAGTAATAAGCACTGTGTAACTGCCTCGAGGGTGGTTGACCAATTAACACAACGTGGTGCGATCATCCCCCTTGCGCGGAGTGAGGGTTCTCGACCCCGCACAACATTATCTACTCGATCACCATTATGGTTACCGCCAAAAAAATAAGGTAAAAAAAATAAAAACGGTAACCTGGTTGCCGAGTTCACGAAGTGAGTTGGCTT